CGCCCCCCCCCCCCCCGCCGCCGCTCTCCTCCACTTCTTATAACATTAGGGGTTGGCAAATAAAAGTCGGGGCTTTAAAGTGAGGGGGTTACAGAACTGAAAAGTCAAAAGCCACTTTTATTCGAGTCCTTACAGGTCAAGGGGGGATAACTCAATACAGCTCTTTTTGGGGGGGGGTTGTTTTCAGATTACAGCTCTTTTGGGGGGGGGGTTGTTTTCATTTTTCTCTAGCATGAAATACACAACGGGCGCACACAACTCGCCAGCTCACACAGGCTAACTGGCATTCAGACATGCCCCATAGCTTAGCAGGGCGGTAGGCACACAGAGCCCTCTCTAGGCACGCACACACAAGCACACACACACACACACAACCCCGCTGGCACGTTCACGCTTCTTTATGCCTCTAGCGCCCGTTCACACGACAGAGACAACCCCCTCCCCCACGCCACATTTCGGACACACGCGTTACTTTCTCCTCCGGGCCCCTCCTGCTCTGCCAGGCGAAGCCGAAGTGGCGGGCTCGGGTTGTGCTACTTCGCACGGTCTGATGCGGTCTCGCTAGGTTTTCCCCAAGTCTCTCTGGGCTGCCCCGGCGCTTCTGTCAGCAGCGGCAGCGAAGCCAGCGCTGACCCGGTAGGCGGAAAGGAGCGGGGGGTGGGATTTCGAGCCCTTTTCTCTGTCATTGGTTAATATTTTATTCTGTTGACATGTTTTCTTACTGCCGCTGCTTCCGACACCTTCTTTTTTTTCTTTCTTCCTTCCCTCCCTCCCTCCCCACCCCCCTTTCCCCAGATCTTGGCCGGAGCTGTCAAAACCACGCCTATGGAGAGCCACAATTGGTCTGAAACGCGTAAAATCAGCAATCAAAGGGGCTTGGCTCATTAGCGAGGGGATCCGCGCAGGAAGGACATGTGAGAGAGTCACAGTTTTACAGAGATCAGGACAAGATCTCCCCCCATTTCCACTCCGCGTCCTTTCGCCCAGCGCAGCCTGGGCTGGGGCGCTCATGCCGGGCTAACTCTCTGCCTGCCAGTGGGGGTGTGCGTGTAGGGTGGTGCCCGTCCCCCCCAGCCTGGCAGAGGTGGGGAGCCTTTGGAAAGCCCCCGACGTGCCCGGGCGCCGCAACGGTTCGGCTTTTGTGTCTATTTTAGCGCAGGACTCCGCCGCGCCCCGCGCCCCGCTAGCTGGCTGCAAGACCAGCAAAAAAAAAAAAAGCTACCGCTATCTCCCCCTGCAAACGGGCAGCGTCAGACGCCAGGAGCTGCCTTTCTTTCTCTGCGCCCAGCTCTGCGCTCGCCTCCTCCAGCGGCTGGGAAGGAGGCGAGAAGGCAAAGGGAACCCCTCGTTTCTCCAGGCTCGGTGGATGCCCCGATGAGAGATCCAGCCTTCCCGGGGACTGCAATGGCTTATCACCCTTTCCACGCTCCCCGACCGGCCGATTTCCCCATGTCCGCCTTCCTAGCGGCGGCCCAGCCTTCCTTCTTCCCCGCGCTCGCTCTGCCTCCGGCCGCGCTGGCGAAACCCATGCCGGACCCTAGTTTGGCTGGAGCCGCCGAAGCGGGTTTGCACGTCTCGGCCCTGGGACACCATCACCAGGCGGCCCATCTGCGCTCCCTTAAGAGCCTGGAGCCGGAGGAGGAGGTAGAGGACGACCCCAAAGTGACTCTGGAAGCCAAGGAGCTTTGGGACCAGTTTCACAAGTTGGGGACGGAGATGGTGATCACCAAGTCAGGAAGGTAGGAGCACGATCCCCCCACGCACGCACCCCGGGGTAGAGCCACGGGAAAACGCTACGGTCCTCCCTTACCTATTCTGCCACCCCCTCCTCGCACCTGTGAAATAGACCAGCGTTAGCAGAAAGCACATTCGGAACGAGTCGATTTCACTGATTAAGCGCCACGCAGACTGGATTTGGGGCTTTTTTTTTCTTCCTTCATTTATTTATATTTCTTGACAGGGTTCCCTCCCTTCGAGGCTGGGAGGAAGCAGCTGATGAAAAAAAGTCTGATTCGGTGACTGAAATACAAATAGGAAATATATTAATATTGGATGTTTCGGGCTTCCTGGATTTTTGTATCCACTTTCATTTAAAAAAAAAAGAAACAAGATTCTAAATTCCATGTGTATGCAAGAATGGAAAACCTTCATCACAGATTAAATGTGTGTCCCGTTCACTTGTTTAATTTCGTAAAATAGAAACTATTAGGTATAGGTAGACCTTGAATAATTTCTTCACTGCATGACTGACCTATATTCAGAACTGGCTTTCCCCCCTCCTTACACCTTTATTTAAATCTGAACAGCACTTAAAAATTGTAAAAAAATAGGTTTGCAATAGCTCATCTCTCCTTCCCGCAGTAGTTCTAGCTTTAGTAGTTTTTCTCTACGTTAGCTCTCTTTTATTTTACGTTTAGGTTAGGTTTTGAGAGGGATTATAAAGTTGTTTTTTAAAATTTTTACCAATTTGCTCCGTGAAAATATTGGGAGGTTAGGAGAAAGGAAAGTGCTTTAATTTGGATCAAGAATGCACTTTTTTATCTCTACTCTGTTTCCTGAGCATTCCAAGTTGAGATTTCGCCTTTTTTTCTCTCCTCCTTTTCTGTCACGCGAATGAAGCGAAACTTTGAATGTAAAGGAACGGCTGGTCAGATTAAAGCAAATCCGGTGTGTGCACTTTTTAGAAAAATGGCAAAACACTAAAGGGCAGGTTTCAAAGAGCAGGCTCGCTTCCCCAGGATTTAATCTTCAAGGAAGTTTGATTTTTCATAACCCGATTCCATTATGTCTCCGCTCTATTCCGATTCGAGAGTTCAGCTGCAAGTTTATTTTTAAACGTTGCTTCTAGCTTTTAGATGCACTTTGAAAGCGGAGGCCCGAGGTCTAGCCTTTACCGTCTAGACACAGATAGTGAACAATCTGACTCCAATGTGCATTTCAAATTTCCTTAACAGTGGGTTCACGACGGATGCAAACATAGAGAGAGACACAGGGCTGGGTAGGGAGAGTGGGTAGGTTTCATACCCTTCCTGCTCCTTTTCTTTGCCTGTTTTGTCCCGAAACCCACCGACCCCCCTTATGCTTCGGATTCTATTTAATACGAAATTGTTCTCTTTCTCTTATTGCCTTTTGCTCTCTCAGGAGAATGTTCCCTCCCTTTAAAGTGCGTGTGAACGGCCTGGATAAGAAGGCCAAATACATTTTATTAATGGATATCGTGGCTGCGGATGATTGCCGGTATAAATTCCACAATTCGCGCTGGATGGTCGCGGGGAAGGCGGATCCCGAGATGCCCAAACGTATGTACATCCACCCGGACAGCCCGGCCACCGGGGAGCAGTGGATGGCCAAGCCTGTTGCGTTTCACAAACTCAAGTTGACAAATAACATCTCGGACAAGCATGGATTTGTGAGTATCCCTTCGACAGAGGGCGTGGGGCATCTTTAGGGCGGGCTGGGATTGTGCGAGGAAGCTTTGGACCTGGCCACATAAAGTGGGGTGTATGTGGTGTGTGTATGTGTGTTTGTGTGGTCGGTGTGTGCGTCTGAAGGAAACAGGGAAAGCTATGTTTGGGCAGCACAGAAACTGCATAATATTACAACACACACACACACACACAGAGCTGCTATCTTTCCCAACATATTTCTGGGCGGCACATTTCATACCACATATATTGATCACTGGGGGGGGGGGGTTGTGAAAAAGCCAGCAAGAGTCCAAATTTTGGGAACTCCTGGGCCTCCCCTATTGTCCTTTACCACCTCCCTCTGTGCTCTCTCAAAACAGACCTACTAGGGAGGGAAAAGAAGGGGTCTTGCAGCGTTCACTTGAACTTTTCCCCTTTGCAAATGGGCAAAATATTTGCCCCCACCAGCCAGCTCAGTTTGAATGTGCGCCTATCATCTGTAAATAGTAAATCACCCCGAGTTTATCAGGACGTTTTAATTCATAACACACATAGCGTGCCTTAAAATGTATGGGATCCATCACTCTTAATTAAGATTAATCGCCGGGTAGTTTGCGTGTGTGTGTGTGTGTGTGTGTGTGTGTGTGTGTACACACACACCCCTTCCCTGCTCGCTGAGGCCTTGGAGTAACGTGAAGGCAGCACTGTGGTGCCCCGCACACACTAACTTCAACCGCATCAGAAGGGGTGGAGGGGAAATGTGAGTGGTTGCACATTAGAGATGTCATGGGGGAGGGGGGCTGATCTGGGGAGGACCCTGACATATTCCCCATTTAAATTCCAGGGTGAGTTATTGGAAACCATGTGGGAACATCCATTAAACAGTGGAGGGGGAGGGGGCCTGAGAGAGACACGGGCTGGGCCATTGCGAAAAGTGGGAATTGTTTTTCAAAATAAACTTTGGAAGGAAGAATCATCCAGACCGTGGCATTGTGGGTTTAAATCCGCACGCCCTTTGCCTCGCGTTTGAGTCAGCCCAGGGACGCCAAACGGGCCCATTCGCCTCCTTTCAAATAGGCCAGCTCCATTTCCCTCACTGGGCCGGATCCTGCCAGCCCTCCCCGCATTCCCACGGCAGCTTGCTGGGCTGGGAGGGGTCATTCTCCACGCAGGTAGTTGCACAGCTGCTCTGTAACCGCCGGGCAACAAGGCCATTCCCTTTACAAGACCCCTCTCCAGACGCTGGGAGAGACTGGGGCGCGGGGCGGGGGGTATGTGTGAATCTGTACAAATATTTGGGGATTAAACAGCCTCCAAAAAGGGGTGGGGGGGGGGGGTCTCTGAGCGGATCTCAGTGCGAGTGGGCAAGTGGTCTTTTTGATCGCTTGACTTTTCTTGCTGGAGAGGGCAGGAGCGAGAAAGGGACAGAGAAAGTCCTTTAATAACCCGGAAGGGGGGAGAGTAGTTTGCTTGTTTTGCTTCGTTTTGGATGCAGAATCGCCTCCCTTTCAACGAAAGGTAAGAGGGGGGAGCAAAATAAGGAGCCTTGCTCTACAGGTGCAATGTAAGTGGTCTTTTTGATCGCTTGACTTTTCTTGCTGGAGAGGGCAGGAGCGAGAAAGGGACAGAGAAAGTCCTTTAATAACCCGGAAGGGGGGAGAGTAGTTTGCTTGTTTTGCTTCGTTTTGGATGCAGAATCGCCTCCCTTTCAACGAAAGGTAAGAGGGGGGAGCAAAATAAGGAGCCTTGCTCTACAGGTGCAATGTAAGGAGAGGCCAGTCTGCAGATGGGCAAGGCTGCAAAATTCAGTCTCTCGGGGATCTTGGTTAAAACTGGCATTTGGCATATCTCAGCAGGCAGATGGCTGGAGTTACCCACCTGTACTTGGTGTCAGTGGGAGTAGGAAACGCTTGTTTTGTTGTTCCAGGAAACGAGTCTCGCCGAAGAGGAGGATTTTTAAAGTCTTCCAAACGTCCCTATTTATTTTTGTATTGATCATCTTCCTCAGACTGGGGGCAGGGGAATCGAAGCGTCTTAGCAATTTGCAAATCTCCACCGCATCTAGTACTCTCTGAACTAGGGAGAGAGATGGGTTTTTACTTCCATTAATGCCCGGTGCAGGAGGGCGCGGGGCGGAGGAGGGAATCAGAGCTAACAAACAAGTTGTCTTTAGCCTTTGGACAAGTATTTGGGGCGATAAAGGGGAAGTTCAGAGTCCTAGGTTTTTGATATGGTAATTAACTAGGATTTGGAGATGTGGGTATGTCAGTCAAGGCATGACACGGGCAGTCCAACGCGGGGGGAGGGATGCAAATCAACAGCAACATGGGGAATATACGCATGAAAAATCTCACAGGTGAGAGGTAGGTAAATACGGATTCATGCTACTTTTCCTGGTTAGCAAAACTGGAATGTTAAAGAATTCTTTGCTCGCTGTTTATCTAAAGAAGTGTGAGTCCATAGTAAGGGAGTATCATAAACAGCGTTTGCTACTAAGGAAAATCTAGTTCTATCCCACATTTTAACAGTTCCTCTTCTTCAGTTAAACATTCCTGGCGTGTGTGGTTCTCCAAAGGCCGGCGTGTATTTAATCCGAAGGTTCGGCGTCTGGTTTGTGCCATCTGGTCATGGAAGGAATGGATATTTTTTAAAGGAATGCAGATTTACACGCCTGAATGGGAAATATTTGCACCATTTCCTTTATAAATCCCGTCTAGATAACATCAATATTATATTGATCCGGCAGGGCACGGGCAGGTGACTATTTGGGGGTTTAAAACGGAGATGTTTTTCATTGCCTACTCCACCAAATTAAGTGACAATTATTTAACCACTCGGCCGTAGTATTTTACAATAACTAAGGATTCATCAGGCAGCCGCAATTTTTGTTTTTAGTAAATACCGTATTTAATCCCGAACACACCAATTGACAGAATTATTAAATCAAGACCAGGCAAGAAGAGACTTTAATGGCGTGATTTAAAAGGGAGGGGAAATCATTTAGAATTTGCAACAATTGCTTTTCTTTTTCGGAGCAATGTAAGATCATTAAAAGGTGTGTTTGATTGTAGGCTCTTTCAGGTCGTGGCTCTGGGTTCGAAATATTTCCAACTGCTCTAAAAGATATAAATTTAAAAACTAAGAAATAAAGCAATAGCTTTGACTGCTGGCGACAGTTTCAGATACCTGGTTGGGAAGAAAAGGCTTGTTCATCTGTAATATCTTAATCCGAGTCGTAAATTTCACTGTGGTGATGGCGGGAAATATTTTTTTATTCACTCTTCCAGTAGTTGATTTGGGAACGAACATCCTTCCCCGGGCAGGCCACTGCCATGAAATAACCCACTTCTGAAGAGTGGGAGAGAATTGTAGAAAAATACAAGTTGCTTAGAAATAGGTGCTGAAAACTGGGTGCCCCCTCCATTATAATAATCTGGGGGAGATTATCATCTTGCATTTTTAAAAGAGGGGCGTTTAAAAAGAAATCGCACCAAGCCCTTCTCCCAAGTAGACTGATTATTAGTATTATTATTACTATTCTTAAGGATTAATCTCTTTTGGGGTGAATGGAGAATCCTGCCTCAGGCTGGACAGGAATTTTGCCGGCCAGGTGGGTTTTTATTTGCTGGATTTCAGCCCTTCCTTCTGTTCCCAATCCACAGACCATATTGAACTCCATGCACAAGTACCAGCCCAGATTTCATATCGTGCGAGCCAATGACATTTTGAAGCTCCCCTACAGCACCTTCAGGACTTACGTGTTCCCTGAAACTGACTTCATCGCGGTCACTGCCTATCAGAACGACAAGGTAGGGGCGGGCAGCGGGCTTCGAAGGGAACTTTTGGTTTGGAACAGAGAGGCCGGGATCCGACCCCGCTTCCGCTGAATTTCTGGACTGGGGGCGGGAGAGGGGGGTC